TCGCTGGTGCCGTCGCCGACACCGGCGGCCGAGTTGTGTCGGACGGCTAGCCATCGAAAGCCATTGAGTTTCACTTTAGACCAATTGATGTCCGTCTCATTGATGTCCAAATGTGTCAACTATTCATGTGATAAGTGGTTTAAAACATCATTAAATATCTAATATCATCGCTAATGACATGAGTGGTCACCCGATTGTGTCCGTACAGCCGAACCTCTTAAGCACATGACATACCTGTAAAACTTGGTTCACATTAACAATTGACTCTTCGCTCGTCATTATTATAACATTAAAATGTTATCAAAAAAATATAAAATAGATTTCAAAACATATTTCTATCACAATTAATACCACATTTGAATTGAAGTGTAAATTAAATGCACAAAACAGTGAAACAGTGGCAGTGATTACACACTCAATGCAAACAAATGGGCGTTTAGTTAATGGCAATCAATGCAATCTTTGCTAACATTAATCGTGTATTTGTTTAGTGAATAGTTTCCTAAAATTGTTCATTAAATGCATAATTAAAGCCAAAACACAATCATTTGTTTGAATAATAAAATATGAAATGATTTCTAAATATTTGTTATGAGTTGTGATAAACGAGTGGCAAATGTATTGCGAAAGTGAGTCTCTCTCTCTCATTGGCTTTACGTCTAACCAAAACATATGATTTCATTCAACATTGCATTCAATGTGTGAATAAAACTTTGGGTTTGCGACCAATATTTACCATCATTTTTATGCTTTTGAACTTAATTGTTATTTTAATTGATTTTTTTTTTGAATTTACTTTTAAATATAATGCAATATTTACTTAATTTTCATATATTTAATCACTGGCAGTGAGTTTATACCATGTCTTTGGGTTTAGGATTAGCTCTGATTGTATGCAAATTCAATATTTATACATTTTTTAATCTCATTATAATTCATACGAAAAAACTTTTAATTTCAATATTCAATCAAATAAAACATGAAAAATAAAACTAATGGTGTATTTGAAATGACTTTTAATATAACAGAGTTTATAGTATTTAATAAATGATAGAAAGTGTACACAAATATACAGTATATAACATGACATCCGGTTATCTGAGCACTCATTTCATGACTAAATCCCGACTAATCGGATGAGAGGGTCCGCTGTGTATAAAACAGTGTTGTGTGTATTGTGGAGCGCATGGGAACTGCCAGTGCAGTCGTACAGCACATACACACACACCGGTGCCGCCCAGATATTCAGGTCGGGTGTGTTTCCCATTTCCCTTACAAACAGCACAACCAATAACCGTATGGCAGACCGACGACTACAGTAGGAGTAAAAGGCACTGCATTTTCGCTAACAAGCGTTCAACGCTAGAATTCAATGCTTTTGGTTGCAAACGGAAACTCGCCTTCATTTTCACCGATATATCCCTTATTATTATAATAAGCATTGAATACAACACTCAAAACAAATTCATTGTTTTTTTGTGCTCATATTTTGGTGACACTCGTCGGACACACCGTTTTATATTCACCACATTTTTACTCAATTTAAGGTTTGTTTCGTTCAATATATTTATTTTCCCGAAAATTGTATTATTTTTGTAAATAATGTGTTGCATATATGCGGGTCTGTGCGACCCCTCCCGTCATTGTACAACTCATACACTATATACGGGCCGTAGTGTCCGCACGCCTGACATTAAGGTAAAAAAGTTTTAACAAACTTTGTGTGAATACAGTTATATCTGGGATGAAGTCAGACACACAGATGGAGGACACATCGGGTCCGTCGGAGATAGACGTGTCGGACGCGTACGCCAAACGCAAAGTCGGTCGACCCATCACTTCCGAGCGCACACTCGCACGGTATGCATCGCTGGACACAACTGTCCACAAGTTTTGTAATATTTTAATTTAAGAGTCGTTTCAAACCGTTTCTCATTTCCTTAAAAAAATGCCCACAAATTATGGGAATTTTATTTATTTCCGGAAACTATATTTTGGGGAAAAATTTTTAACTATGATTTCTGTTTGACTTTTTTCATTTAAATCACTTTTAATTGTTTTGAATTTGCAATTAATTAATTAACGGACAAAATAGAAATTATTTTGTTACACTTTCGCGACACCAATTGCTATGAATACCAAAATGTTTGCACAGAAAAAAAACAAATTGTTTAAAACATTTAGCGACAAAATTGAATGTCTTTTTTGATGGACAAAAATGCCATTTAACAGGAATTTCCCCGAAATCGATGAAATTCGCGGCAAACTGTTGACCGGCGAGTGTTTCGGGCGAATGCGGACGAGTGGCAACTCCTCGTCGGTTTGGCAACTCTTTGAAGAGATTGCTTACTCTGATTCACAACTCTTTACGGGTATTGTTCGGTGCAAAGCGTGTGCATTCATGACCAGATATCACGGACAGATCACCGGTACGTTTTGCCCAAACGAGCGATTGCTCTCATAATGATTATATCATTTTAAAGGCACATCTCATATGCGAAGACATCACTGTTTTCGTGAAGCATTTCCCGAAGCGTTCACTAATTCACCCAAAATTACACCAAATGTGACGATAAATAAAATTAAAAAAGGTTTACCACT